ATATATATATGCATGTGTGTGTGTGTGTAGAGAGAGAGAGAGATTGAGAGTGAGTGAGAGTGAGAAAATAACGAAATCATATCGTGTATAAATCCTCTAGGGTCTACAGTGTTAAATTTTAAAGATAATTAAAGTGTTTGAAACGCGCAATAAAGCATGGCACTATTTAATCGAATTAGTACATGACATTTCTCTTGAATCGAAAATATAAATAATAAAAAGACGAAGAAATGAAGCCATAATTCATTTTACAGTGAAAAAAATTTATTACACTTAAATGTTTGAGTTCCTTTAATTCATGACATTTTTAAATTGTTTTTATATAATATTTATTTGCGATGTTTGCGTGTTACAACCTAAGTTTTACCATTTTTGGTTTGCTGGATTATAAAGTACGCCACAAAGTACTGTTGGAAATGCTACATGGCCGTGCCGAAGAAGAAGCGAGGAAGAAGAGATTTGAAACTAGAGAAATATGGTTCTACAGAAGCAAGCTGAGAATATCATTGACCGAATATGTGAGCAATCATGAAAATTTAGGAAAAAATGACACCTATTAAACATCAAGAAGCAGCAGTTGAAAATTCTAGGGAAAATAATTAAGAAAGCGGATTTTGAAAATTTGATCCTCCCGGAACAGATTGAATGACCTAGCTAGCGATCTTAAGTAAATGGGTGTTCAGGGTTTAGGTGCAATACCAAAATATAAAAATGTATTGAGAGCTACAAAGGACAAGAAGTTGTGGAAAGCCAAGATGGCCAACGTCCTGAAGAGGACACGTCGTATAGAAGATGAAGGAAGTACGCTCGTAGCTGGACATTGATGAATGCGATGGCGAACCTCGTTATGCGATTTTACACATTAAAATTTCCCTTGTTATAAAATCACTTTGTTCAGCTTGTTAAGATGAGTAACTTATCGGTGATGATAGTGGTATCAGCGAGCCGAGTTCGAATTCTGAACGAATTTTTTTAAAGTTATTTCCTCCCTTGGTAAAAATACATAAAGATATTTTTCACGTCGCTCCAACTTTATATAGTATTTTATATGAATCTTGAATGGTGGCCGGTCTAGGAGACGGACTATCCTGAATTCGACGCCACCGTGGGGACTTATTCCAAGTTTAAATCTAATCAGGGTGGCATTATGTAATGGAGTATAATCTTTACATCTTATTAACACTATAAAATTTTATGACAGAAATAAAAAGAAACATAATTAAAAAAAAGAGTGAAGAATATATAAAAACAAAAATAGCAGTTACTACAAAAATAGAAGAATGCCCCCCCCAACCCAAAACAAAACAAAAAAACTAGCAAGATAATAGAATGAGCTAACCGTTTATCACTTTTCCCTCATCGGAGCTCGGTCGAAGTAAATAAATAAATTACCGGCCACCCTGATAAAAGACATCAAGACAGAAAGAAAATACACATTCAATGATATATGTAAAATTCTTTAAAGCTATTTGTATTAAATAATATATATAAAAGTCTTAGAAACTTTTATTTAATTAAATAATTCATCGAAAATTCATGAAAATTATTTTGATTAAAAATGACCAGGAATCTATTTTTATTAACCCGTTCCCCGGCGTAGACGTGTATATACGTTTAACTGAAAGTGTCTTTTGCTGGCAGGGACGATGAATAAACACGTCCAAAACATAAAGTTAAAAAAATAAATCTACAGATGTGTTTTCTATAAGTCGATTGTGATACTTTTTATGCCAATTGTCATCTCAAATGTCTGGTAGAGGTGTTAGGCACAATTCAGTTACGGCAAAATTATTCAGATTCTTAGTTACTATATTAAAAGCAAATAAAAAACAATCCTCTAAAAATTAAACGTTTTCCAAAAATAATTGTGGGAGAGCAGTTATATAATATATCTTAAATAATATATTCATGCCATATATATATATATATATATATGGCATGAAGATTGCGATCAAGCATGAAACAGATTCTCGCCTTTTGGTGTTAGCCACTTTTATATTTCATACTTATATACACTCTATATATGATATCGAAAACTTTCACTCATAAATAAAGTATAATATACATTGAAAAACTACTTTTCATATATATATATTTAATTAATCCATCGAGTCTGATAGAAAACTCAACAGAAAGCACTGGACAGTCGTGTCGTCCTATATTTGGGACTCATCAGCAGTGCGCATCCACTACCGAGAATTGAAACCCTGACAGTTAGGTTGTCAAGCAAAATTCATACTAATTGTTCCAATGGACCTCGGAGACTAAGGGATTCCAAATCAGACTCAATATAGCGCCGCTCGCTTACATATTTCGTGGTGGAACTCTACTCAGTTCACTGTAACCATAGGACTGTGCCCCTGGAGCCACAACTACTCTCACCAGCCTCTAGAGCATTAGAAGCCGGTTCAAGTAATGATATACACAGATAGTAATTATTAAGAGGATTTGATAATTATATTTAATTCATCGAGTCGGATAGAAACCTCAACAGAATGCAGAAAGCATTCTGATGAGATTTCTGTCAGACTCGATGAATTAATTCAATATAATTATCAAATCCTTCTAATAATTACTAACTATATATATATATATATATATATATATATATATATATATATATATATATATATATATATATATATATATATATCTTATAAATCTTTACCTGGTTAATTTAACTCTGAACTTATTATATGGTATATATATATATATATCTGAATAATATATATATATATATTTTTTATATATATATATATATATATATATATATATATATATATATATATATATATATATATATATATATATATATATATATATATATATATATATGTGTGTGTGTGTGTGTGCTTGTGTGTATGCCTTCGTGCGTGGGTGTATTGCAAATCGAAAACTGATGATTCAAAGTGTTCTTCCTGAAAGGTGCATCTGTTTCAAGAAGAGTATCTTTACTTTAGAGTAGAGAACAATCGAAAGATGTATCAGTGACAATCAGGAATCAATATATTTAGTAAATAAATAGAAAAAAAGAAGATATCTGGACAAACGAGGCTACCGTTAACGTTGGAACATCGAAAAAAAAATCTCTTAAAATTTCTTTCTCCGAAGCAAACAGGGCTTAAGATTTTCTGGAAAGAAATTTACTTTGCAGAAGTTAGAATCAATAAACTAATACTTACTTTCGATTTGTTACTCTTAAGTGTATGAAACTTTTACATTTCAGCTCGACTTCTCTTAGAGTGTGTCGTAAGTTAGATACGGCGAACAGGGAGTTAAAATTTCCATGAATATCGGGAAGAATTAAAAACCTTATTTATAATATTCATTGTCAAAAAAGCCATGTTTTTAAGAAAATAATACATTATATATATATATATATATATAATCATTATATTTTAAAATATGTTTCCATCACGATACAGAAAATTTTATGTTTCAAAATTGAAACTTTAATCCCAAATAAAACTTAAAGCTAAGAACTCCGGATTATACATTTCACTGTTCTTTCCTATTATTTTAATATATATATATATATGTCAAAGAACGAATATTTTCTGTGAAAATTTCTCGGACATTCAGGCCGGTAAATGTTATTTAATACTGTTTATCATAAACAGAGCATTTGCTTAAATACTTGTATCTATAAAAATAACAACGTTAAACATAAAAAATGACTTTAATAAATATATAAAATATATATATATATATATATATATATATATATATATATATATATCATATATCATATCATTGCATTACATTATTATATAACGAGGTATGTCCATCCTTGGATCTCGTGCCATTGCACAAAGAAACATCACTGAAAATCTTTCAACAGCGGTAAAAAAATAAATGGACAGCACATCTAACTCGAAGAGAAAATATTGATATAACATGTTGATGTTCCACAGTACCTTAAACAAAAGATTAGGAAGGAAACTCCCGTCAATACGAGACAGTGAAAGCTGATTTCCTGAAAAAAACTGGCCTTGGAAATGGCATTAATTTGGAAATTGACATTGAAATAGTTATTGATTAAAGAGATATCTTGTACATGGATTACGTTGATTGGTATATTATTTAAAAAAAAAACGTAGGGAAAATATAAGACTATAATGTCATGGCATATTTGTATATGAGAATATGAAAATGTAAAAATATATGTCATGCTGTGTTTGTTTTTGTTTTTTTAATATAGTTGGTAGTCACTTTCAATGAGTGCCTTTAGAACAGTTATTCTCTCCCTCCTCTCTAAGGGTTAAATAGCACGATAGACTTGTTTCATTAGCATTACTATGAAAATCGATCTCGGAGAATCACAAGTCTGAATTCAAAATCCTATAAAAAGGCACCATGTCGACGCAAAGGTTACTGGTACTAAAGATATAGGCACGCGAAGAATTGGTTATCGGCGTGGAAAGTGGGATCTGAATACAGTGTTAAAATTCCAGTCGATGTTGTTGCATTCACCTTCACACCAATATGAATGCATCTCATCTGTTGGGTTAAATAGCTGCCCGGCTGCAGTTGATAAACCTTTTAGTAGGACAACACTAATTTTAAAACGGCGTCTGAATCAGTCGCATTTAAAGGAATCTAAGTCATATGCAAGAAAACCATCGCTGTGTTTATTATAATGGATAAAATCTGTAATATTTAAATGCACATATATCAGGTGTGAGGTTCTTTAGTTTGAATCACAGGAACTGTCAATTTTTTTGTTGATTGCCTCTGGCGCAAAGAGAGCAGTTTATTCATTGACAATGAGGAAACATTGATTTTGACAAGAAAATAATTCGGAGTGCGCAAACGTTGCAGAAGAAGTTCTCGTCTGGTGTGAAAAGCCTTTCCTTCCTCAATTGTGAGCCAGCATTTTATATTTTATTGCATCATTTATTGGATGAGGCATATGTATTTGTTATGAACACGGGAAACATGATTTCAAGAATAACACGTTTCTGCCCATGGAACATTTGTGGAAAAGGGGAAAAGAAGAATTAGGGAAGGGAAAAGAAGGAGAGAAGCCAAATAGAGAAGGAGAGAATGGAGAAAAGGGGAAAGGAAAGCAAGAAGGAAAAAGAGGGAAAAGAAAAGGAAAATGGAGAAGAAGGTACGAGAAAGGAGGAAGAAGAGAAGGGACATAGGGAAAATGAAATTACGAAAAGAAGACGGGAAATAGAGAAAAAGAGAAAGGAAAGGAAATGGAGAAAAGGAGAAAAGAAAAGGCAAACAGTGGAAAGAGAGAAAGGGAAAGATAAATTGAAGAAAAAGTTGAGAAGAGAAGACGGGAAATAGAGAGAAAGCAAAGAAAGAAGTGGGGGTGAAAGAAAAGAAAAAAGAAGAAGGAGAGAAAAAGAAAGAAAGGAAGAAAAGAAGATAAGAGAAAAGATAAGAAGACTGCAAAATGGGGAAGAATAAATAAAGAAATGGGGAGAATTAAATAACGAGAGAAGAAGGCAAGAAAAAGAAAAGAAATGGCAAAATAGTTCAAAGGGAAATGGAGAAGAAGAACAAGGCAAGGGAAAAGAAAAGAGAAAGGTGGAAGGAGAAAGGATGAGAAAGAAAAAGAGACAAGAAAAGAAGAAGAGGGCTAGTTGGAAGAAGAAAATACAAATGATGAAGAATATAAGAAAACGGGTGAAGAAGAGAAAAGAAAAAAAAGAAACGAATAAAGAAAGAAAGAAAAAAAGAGACGCAAATAAGATGTGAAGAAGAAAAATAAAAGGGGAAAAGAAGCGACATTATAATTAAGTCAAAAAAAAAGGAAAGGAAATAAATTAAAGAATTTAAAAAAAGTCCTGGAAAGATGAACCAAATATGAATGCAGAAAAGAAAGAAGAAAGAAGCACCTATAGTAAAAAAGGAGGAGGAGAAAAGGAAGGAGAAAAAACATCAAGAAAGAGATATAGAAACTATAAAAACAGTGATGAAGGGAACATCCAAAAAAAGGTAGACGAAGACAAGGTCAAAGTTTGATGAGATAAAGAAAAATAAATAAAGAAAAAAGAAAGAAAGAAAAAAGAAATAAAGACGGGGATATTGTTTAACGAGTAGAAATAGAATAGAAAAAAAAATGAAAAGAACGAGAAAGAAAAATAAAAACGAAAAAAAGCAAAGAAAACAACTCTGCTTCCATAGATAGAATATGTTGAACATGTATTCAATCAATTCAGAATTCCCTGAATCAAAATAGGTCAGCAGATTCCTGACGAAGTTCTTAAAAGTTGTGATGATAACAAAAAATCGATTGATTGATTGATTGATTCGTTTTCTACGGCTTATCAACCCATTGCAGGTTTATACAGGTTGCAATGGATAAATTGTCGCCAGAATTACGCAAAAATGAAAATAACACTCACATCTCATTTTAACAGATATATCAACCAAAACGACCCCAAAATACAGGGGTTGGACAAAATAATAGAAACACTTGTTAAATTCAAAGTAAATTTATTTAATATGGAGTTGGTCCTCCTTTAGCCTCACAGACAGCTTGAATACGTCTAGGAATGGAGTCATACAGCTTCCTGACTTCATCCAGAGGAATTTTCAGTCATTCTTCCATTAAAACCTTCTCCAGCTCTTTACAACAAGACGGTGGAGGATAGCGGCTCCTAACTTGTTGCTCCAAAATGCACCACAAATGTTCAATAATATTGATATCTTGAAATTGGGGAGGCCACTCCATGTGTTCTAGATCACTTTTATGCTCTTCATACCAATTCTTAACCACTCGAGCGGTATGTATTATCGTCTTGGAAGATGCAATCATTATCATGGAATAATGTCTTGGCCATTGGATCAACATGATCTCCCAAAATGTTCAGGTAATCTTTGCTGTTGATTCTACCCTGTAGGGCAACTATTGGCAGAGACATTTCCATGATATGACGGCCCAAACTATCACTGATCCACTACCATGCTTTACTGTTGGAAGAAGGCAGTCAGAGTTGTAAGCTTCTTTGGGCTGCCTCCACACATAAACTCGCCCTGAAGTTGGGAAAAGAGAAAAACTGGACTTGTTTGAGAATATGACTTGCTTCCATTGGTCTGCAGACCAGGCATTGTGATCTCTGCATCACTTCAACCTCTTTTGAATGTTGCAAGTGGAGAGGTTTCCTCACAGCGGCTCTTCCATGATATGCAACCTTATGGAGCTCACGGTGAACAGTTTTAGTAGAAACTGAACTATTCAGATGGTTATTCAACTCAGCAGTCACTTTGGCAGCATTTGCACGATGATTTTTTGCCACATTGCGTTTCAATGGACATCAGTCCCTGTCAGTATGTTTGCAAGTCCGGCCCGAATTGCTACGGTTGCTAGAGGTCTTAACCTGTTTCTCGAATTGCATCAGTGTTCTTGATATGGTAGCTCTTGAAAAACCAAACAGTTCAGCAACCTTAGTGATCGAGGCTCCTACCATGCTAGCTCTAACAATTTGCTCTTTTTCGAAATCGGAGAGGTCACGCATTTAGTTTAAATTTTACTAAATTCTAAAAATAAATAAGACAAAGACAGTAAATTACATAAATAAACGTATTTACAATAGATAGAACCTGCAATTACGAAGTTTTAGTTAAAGTTCTTAATATAATAGGTCTTTGAAATATAGGAGTGGATTTTGCAACTGTTCCAATTATTTTGTCCAACCCCTGTATCTTGAAATTCTAAAGAGTAAATTTGGTCAATAAAATCGCCGTTGGCTTCAACCACGAACTCCAGACGACTTCGAAATCTGCATTTCTTCTGGAACGCTCTTCTTTTTTAAGTTGGTGAATGCTGCCATAAACCATGCCTTCACTTCATCTTCGATAATACAAGAAGTTTTGTAGATCTTTTGCTCAACTGCGTCCCGCACAATTTAAACATAAGGGTTGCAGTCTGGAGAGTTAGGTGACAATATGTAAGGGTTGATGTAGACGCTGAAATTGTCTGACAGCCATAACTCCTGCATTTGTGGCATCGTGCAGAGTTCTGTTGCCTGGCATAAGGGCTTCCAACAGCCACCCTCTTGATTCAGGACAGCACTATCTCCTCAAGGCACTTCGTTGTTGAGTGAGGCCCTCGTTAACAAATTCGGGAGTGTGTTTCTTATCAGAGCGATCAGAATGAATTTTCCGAGCTGCCGTACTTTGGTAATCACCATTAGACTCATAGAGCTCTTTCCGAATCATCTCAACTGTCCTCAGATTGACATCCAAACACACTGAATTGTCCGTATTAGAGCTTCCTGTGCGAATGCCAATAAGTACAGCATGCCGTTTCCCAATTTATGGAGTATTGAATTGCGTCATGCTGCTCTTTCTCACAAAGGAGGTGCCCAACTGACCCTACTATACTGCGCATTCGAGAAAATCATAAATAAACAACGCGCAAGCGCGAAAGAAAAAATATAAAATGGCCACAATTTTTCCATCGCACCCTGGTTATAACAAAAAGCTGAATATATTAGTCTGATTGCAAATAATGTACGAGATTTGATCAAAATCTGTGGGAACTCGTGACAGCAAATGAAAACTACAACACATATCAATTCGGCATTTAATCTCCTTCGAAGTAGTCCCCTTCTGAAGCCACGCACTTTACCTAGTATCGTTTCCATTGATTGAAGGATTCCTGTAACTCCTTTTTGAGATAGATAAAAGTACCTTGTCGCATTCTCCTGGATTTACCCAACGTCATGCAATCTTTTTTTCTTTCGTGCTGGATTTGATTTTTAAAGAGTTAACCCTCGCAAGGTGCTAGATATAAGGAACATGGTAGTTGTCAAACAGTGGGAATGTAGATCTTGGTCCTGCATAATCGATGGTCACTGTGGTTCGTTGAGACGACCACCCTCTACACACTTTCCTTCCATGTACTGCGAAAAACAGGAGACACCGGGGAGGAATGGATAGCGGCTTGGATTGTGCAATCGGAGAGCCGAGTTCGAATTCCAGTCGAATCCATTACATTCACTTACGTGCTAATACTCTTGGGAAAGGTGTGAATCATCTTCTTCTCCCTCCATCTATGGGTAAATAGCAGGACAGACTGGGTTCTATAGCCTTGGATGGCAACTGGTCTAGGAGAAGGACAATTCTGAATTCAAAACCGGAGTGGAGCCCCTATGGCGGATGGACGGCACTTTGGACTACCTTCTGGCAAATCTTGCAACCGCGCTGGTACCAAACTGTATTGGTTTATCCACTTCTTTTGGACTCTGCTAGCAAGGCCGAGAGGGAGAACTAGACGTCTGGGCAGCCCTAGTTCTCCATATATTCCGCCCAGGCTCGTAGCCCACCGCGTTACCTCCATCGTCTCTCGAGACGGACGGATGCCGACGAGAAGTGAGCAAGAACTTATTGCGTATTAGCAAGATTGTTGAAGGTCAGTCTGTGCCAAGCAGTTTCAGTTTGTGTATTTCAGCACCGTTACCAGAGTGACCGTCCCGATACTGTTCATTCAAACCTCGGAGATAATTTCTTTTTCATATTTCTATCTCCAAATGTTTACCCTAAAAAAATAGTTACCAATACTGCAAAAAAGAACGAGGTTATTTAGATAAAATTGTTTTAGACGTCCCCGTCCCACCACAAATGATTCGCATTCCTTACTTTGATTTTATATTATTTCTTTAATAATCCTCAGCAATTAAAGAAATAACCATACATTTCTGTTCTAAATAGTGATTTTCTAAACGTAGCTTAGATGTGGCACAAGGCCGAAAGTAGGGGGTACCCAGTGAGGATCGAGCTCACTACTCAATCGTAATTGTTTTAGCGAGACAAGCTTGCTAGCCATTACACGACCTCGAGGTGCCCACATTTCTGTTCTAAATATAACAATTAATTCACTATTTCAAAAATTATGACCAGTAAGTCTCAGGATTTGTGTTGTGGATTCCGGGATGAAATCCGGTACCAATAAATAACAAACACCAAGAAGGAATATAGGAAAATAAACGTACGGTCAGGTGACAAAACTAACCCGGCCGTGCGTCTCGAAAAGGAGCTCCAATCGGTTGTGAACTGGGGCAGGAATTGGCCGGTCAACTTTAATGCCTCCAAAACAAAACTGCTCTCTATTAATCACCACAGAGATCTTTCCCTGCCCTCCATTAGAATGTCTGACGCTCAACCGCTCGAGAACACCTCTCTGCGGCTGCTCGGTCTCACGTTGACTGCTGACCTGAGATGGAACAAATACATTGAGTCAATTGCTTCGTCCACCGCAAGGAAAGTTGGCTCCCTGTGCCGCACCAGGAAATTTTTCTCCCCGGAATCGATCCTCCAGATCTAAAAATCAACAATTCGCCCTTGCATGGTGTATTGCTGCCATATATGGCCTGGAGCCCCTTCTGTTTGCCTCGGGGTTCTTGATAAGATCCAGAGGCGGATATGCAATATAATTGGCCCTGTTCTGGCATCTCGTCTACAGTCACTCTCTCACAGACACGCCGTCGCCTCTCTCTGTCTTTTTTTTTACAAATACTTTCATGGCAATGGCTCCGAGGAGCTGCATTCGCTGGTTCCCAGACTTCATGAGTTCAAGCGCCCTACGAGGCTGGCATCCCGCTCTCACCCTTTCACTGTCGAAACTCCTAAATGTAGCCGCCTCTTCTACTCCAACAGCTTCATATCTCGCACATCTCGCCTGTAGAACTCTCTCCTCTACTCCAGTTTCCCTGAGAACTATAATCTCCAGCTATTCAAATGTAATGTCAATCGACATCTCCAGTTACCTTGATCTACCCACTATC